GGGGTGGTAAGAAGTGTTTTACGGCCCTCGCAACTGCATAATGACAATTTTGACGTTTGCCCAGGTGGCAGCCGAAGCCAGCTCTTATCGATTTTGGACCACCAAGGGATCTGTAACCTGCGCAATTTGCACACGGGACCTCCGAGATTTTTGGCCCTTGTCCGAGAAAGCTAGGTGTAGATTTTACCTACCTTAAGAGCAGGGGTGTGGCTGAAAGACAGCAGTAAGAAGGAGCCTAGGAGAAGCAGTACAAAGGCTGAAGAAAGAGTCAGGAGCCCAGAGGAGGGGGCAAACGAGGTGAGGGGGTGGGGGGCAGAAAGTGAAGACGAAAGCAACCGACAGAACATTGTTAGAGAGCAGGAAAGGATGTGAAAGGAGAAAATTTTAGAGAAGAAAATTTTCCGTCGCTACCCGGATTCGAACCCGGGACCTATTGATTGTGAGGCGAACACCTTAATCTCTACGCCACCAGAGCCCCCTTGAAAACTGTAGAAATCAAATGTGGTTTTTTTGGGGGTGTTTTTTTTAGGGGGGGGGTTGTTGTTGTTTTGTTTCGTTTGTTTTTTGTTAATACAAGTGGGGATTTTTTACTACCCTTCATTAGATCGTTTAGGAAGCAGGCTTCGGTCCTGCCTGTCAGAGCCATTCGGGCTGAAAAAGATGGAAAGTCCCATCAGAAAGACTCGAGATGCCCGATAAAAATTCGCCGCACTCGGGTTCGAACTCGAGTTCCCTGCGTGCGACCGCGAAGCGACCAACCGCTACACCACAAACACCGGTAGTTTGTCATTCAACTTTCACAATGACAATTTCTTAACATTGTGTGCGTGTGGGTTTATTCTGTAGGGAGTAGGGGTGGCGTTATGTGACGTTTTGGAAAACTGAAGATTTAAGAAATCAGAGAAAAGAAGAAATTTGTTATGCGCTTGATATACACATGTAGTCAAATTATACACGTTGCAAACTTATGGACTGACCATTCTCTTTACAAACTAGTATCCTTCATAAACTACCAACACTAGTACAGATATTCACACCGTGCGGTTGAGAACGATTTTATTTGAAGGGATCCTTTTTCAAAACGCACCATGTTAAATCGGGTAAACCCTCTCCACTCCATAATCTTATGATAAAAATTGTCGTGAGAAAATTTCTTTTTTTCCCACAAAATGCACTGTATCCCTCGACACCAAGATTGATAGAATTGCGTTTCGCTCATTTTCTTGTTTTTGAGAGAATACGGGTATTTTATTTTATTTTTCACAGTTTTGTAGTATGTATAATATATGGATATCCATATATTAAGTGCGTTTTACCATGGAACCCTTCATTTGTCGCGTCTCAAACTGAAGTTTCATAGTGCAATCTTTACTCCTACTCTTTGTCAAACCTTCTCTAACGACCACCTGTCCAAGACTATTACCCGTACAAACGACCTCTTTTCCACTTTCCCTCGTATTTTTTCTGTATCAAAAATGCTATTGCCAAAGATGTCCTCTTGTCAAAGACAACTACCAGGGTGGCTAAAAAGGGCCCATTTAAAACTATTTTAAAAATAATTTCAACAAAACTTTGAAAAATATATAATTCAGCCATAAGAACGTTACATATCTAGATTCTAAATATGAAAGAAATCAACGAAAACGTTCGAAAATATCACAATTTTTTAAATAATTCAACCAAAATTGAGCGAAACGCATAATTTTGCAACCTCATAAAATTCAAACTTATTGTTCCATTTCAAAAAGTCACTATTTGTGCATTGCAGAACAAATTTATTTCTAAAAATTGATATTGGCAAATGGGGGGGGGG